CAGAGCAAGATGAGATTAAATAAAATGAGATTAGATTGGATGAGATGTTTTACGATAAGATGTTATTATAAATTAAATATGATGAAATAATGTAATAAGGAAAGACTAGAAAAGTAAAGTAAGATAAAGTTTAAGGTAAGATCAAACATTTAAGAAAAAATTAACACATTATAATACAAGATATGAGAATATAATATATTTTAGAATAAGATTTTATGGTCAAATATGATAAAATGTTATATGACTGGATAGTAAAGGTTAAGATATTATAAGAAGATATTTTAGGATTAGATAAGATGTAAGATTGTCCATTTTCAACCAAAGATCTTTCAGCAGAAAATTGAAATCAAAGCAGCACAAAATAAAACGATGAATGAAAGACTTGACCAGACAACATGCAGTGCTGCATCGGAAGAACTTCAAACCTTTAAGTATGAAACATTCCTACTTGGAAAATCTAAAACTACTGGATTATTTTAAGTCTTACCTGGATCACTTGCTTTTCCTCCACCACTGGAAGATCCAGTTCCGCCATAACTACTCCCACTAGATGTTCTCCCCGGTGCACTTTCTGTCTTACTTTGTCCTGAACTACTGCCGGAATTCCAGGGCCAAGAAAATCCAGGACTGGTGGACCCACTTTTACCGGTACTTGTTGACCCACTCGATGTAAACGGGGACTCAAACCCAAAGACTGAGGAGCCTTTTGAATTTGACGTTGGCTTGTTTGAGCCTACACTACTTAGATCTGTGTTTGTACTGGACCCTGTTGACCCAGTGGATGACCTACTGCTTGTTGAGGTCCTCCCGCTCTCTGCTGGCTTGTCGGAGCTTGAGCCAAATGAAGACCCTATTCCTAAACTTGAGCGGGCTCCTCCAGTTGATGCTGGCTTACTGAATCCTGACCCAGTATTGCTTGAACTTGACCCAGATTGAGAGAAGGTTGACCTTGAAGAGTCTGCTCCAGTTGATCCTGGTTTGTTCAATTCCAACCCAGTGTTGCTCAAACCCAAACTTGATCCAGATTGAGGGAAGGTTGAACTTGAAGAGCCTGTTCCAGTTGATCCTAGCTTACTGAATCCTAATCCAGAGTTTACACTAGAACCTGACCCTGTACGACCTAGACCCAGAGAGGCTGAACTAGATGAGGAGCTGGAACCACCACCATTGAATATATTCCACCCAGACTGACTCGGTGTGCCTGGCCCAGGACTCAGGCCTCCAGAATATGCATCAAATCCTGTCTAAAAGAAGAAGACAAAAAAGAAAATATAATTAAACATATCAAACACTGAGCTCATTAAGACTTTTCTTAATTTGTCTTTAAAAGTGGTTAAATTAAAAGCAGTTGTGTAATGTATATCTGAATGTCCTTCATATGTAATAGACTAAACAAAAACGTGAAAAGGAATGCTTTGTTTTTTGTATTTTACAAAAATGTGCAAAAATACAATGTACAGATTTGTCGGCACACTATTATTCTTTGCATCATAGTCATGTTTGGCCTGAGTGACACGTGGCTTCAAGCTTTTCATCAGTCCTGTTCAAAGAGAACAAACAAGCACTGGGTAGTTCAGTATGTGAGCACCACACTGAACATGAAGTAGAGAAAGCAAAGAACAAAGATGTCTGAGAAGTCATTAAAGTCAATTATATCCATTTCTTTCTGGATTTCTCCTCGGCCTTCAACACCATCATCCCACAGACCCTGGTGCAGAAGCTCTCCTTTCTGGGACTGAGGTCGTTTTCACACCTGATAGTCCGGTAGACTCGGTTCGATTGGGGACTCGAATTCTTAACATTTGTTTACATTGCAGCTGGTGCAGTTCACATTCACACTGCACTGAGTCAATCGAGCCAACCTGTTCCCCCCCTCGCCTGTGGTGGCGCTGCACCTACAACTACTCAAGGAAACGACACAAAAACCTATGAAGAAGACAGTTCTTCTTTTTCTTCTGGAAATAAAAACAAAAATGGAGTGTCGCCAAATTTTAGCGGTTTTAGGAGTTCTGTTTTGTCATGAGCAGAAGATGAGGCAGAAGATCATGGAGAATGTTGTTTTTAGGGATGCACCGATCCACATTTTTTTACTTCCGATCCGATCCCAATATCTAAATCTGGATATCGGCCGATACCGATCCAGTTCCGATATCATGATCATCATTGATTTTATATGAAGCTGTAATAATCTCATCTCAAGTACAATTTGTACAAATATATGGTGCATGTCCAAAAAGGCAACTTGAGGTAAGTTTTATTAATGTTGGATAAGTTTCAAAGTTAGAATTAAATCCTGCTAACACAAAACATGTATTTTTTTATTCCTAGCTTTAAAGTGGATATTAAAGTGATTAATTTAAGTGATTGTTTAAAGTTATTTTATCCATCCATCCATTATCTTTACCCGTTTATTCCATTTTGGGTCACGGGGGTCGCTGGTGCCCATGTCCAGCAATCACTGTGCGAGGGGCGGGGTACACCCTGGACGGGTCGCAAGTCCATCACAGGGCCACATAGAGACAAACGAGACAAACAACCATTCACTCTCTCACGCACACCTAGGGACAATTTAGAGTTACCAATCAGCCTAACATGCATGTTTTTGGTCTGTGGGAGGAAACCGGAGTACCCGGAGAAAACCCACGCATGCACGGAGAGAACATGCAAACTCCACCCAGAAAGGCCCCTGGACCGGGGTTTGAACCAGGGACCTGCTCGCTGAGAGGCAGCAGCTCTACCAGTTGCGCCACCGAGCTGCCTGAATGAATAAATGAATTTAAAAAATGGCTTTAAACATCTGCTAAGCTCATGGCATAAACCAACAAACATGCTCCTGTTTTTAGTATTTTACATAGCTTTATAATCTAGCTGTCTTATATGAATATGAATATATATGTACTTGTATATAATTTTCTTGTAATTTTGAATTCATATGTTTTTTATGATTGTCTACTGTTGTACTGATAAATATCTCCTGGAGGGTAAACTATATCTTGGCTGCAAGTATCAAGCTGTGAAATCCTTCATTTTCTACAACTGATAGTGGTTGGTCATTAATTATGATGAAGTTTAGCAACTTCTCGGTAAAGATTTGATCTCCGGGGGTTCAGCGATGTCTTCTTCTTGTTCAATCCGAAGCAAACAGCCTGATTTCGGTCAGCCGTGCTCAGTCTGTCCCTCCTCAGAGACGGGCAGTTTGGACATGGCTGGCCGGGGTTGAGTTGCCTGTTTCAGGTTGAGCAAGAGCAGTGCCCCGCTGAAGACACGGAGCTCGAATTTCCATTGTAAAACTAATTTTACCACGGTTTAATGTGGCGCTATGGCTCTGCAGTCACTGCACGTTGCTGTCTTGTTTTGTGGTGTTTCTAGTGTAAAATATTTCCACACAGCGGACATGTTTAGATTTAAAGTTGGTTAGCTGTTAGCCACAGTGCTGCTAACTCAGTCCTCACGTTGTAGCTGGCTGCAAACTATGAAATGAATTTCCTGAATGTGAGGCGGGCCTTATTACTCTGGGTTCATGAGACACGCCTCCGTTCAGGAAATCCATTCCATAGTTTGAAGCCAACATGGATCGGAAATCTCTGCAGGTTGGATCGGAAAAATCCGATACGTAAATTATGCTGGTATCGGAGGCCGATATCGATACTGGATCGGATCGGCCCCATCCCTAGTTGTTTTTCACATAAGGTGGCTGACGGCTCCGTTTGAGGTATGAGAAATGCACATTTGTTTGCCCTGCGCTGTAGTCCACTTCCTGCTTTTGGAGCGGTGTCCAGTCTGCTTGCATTCACACTGCATTTGAACCGTGCCAGAGTTCACTTCAACCAAACCGAGACCTAGGTATTTAGGCAGACCAGAGTTGGCTTCTTTGATCCGTATCAGAGTTCGATTACACATTCACACCTCCCCAAATGAACCGGACTTTCTAGGCAAACTGACTAGAGTTCTATTAAAGCGGATTAAACAGCGCTGGTGTGAATGCATCCTGAGTCCCACACTGGGGAACTGGATTCTGGACTTCCTGACCAACAGACCTCAGACTGTCAGGATCCACAACATCGTCTCCTCCTCCATCACCCTTAGCACTGGCTTGCCCCAGGGCTGTGTGCCGAGTCCCCTCTTGTTCACTCTGCTGACATATGACTGCTCGGCTAGACACTCCAGCTGTCATGTAGTGAAGTTTGTGGACGACACAGCAGTAGTGGGACGTATCACGAACAATGATGAGTACAAATACAGAGAGGATGTGGAACACCTGGTGCAGTGGTGCAGAGACAATAATCTCTGCACCAATGTGAAGAAGACCAAGGAGATGGGACAAAGATCCTCTTCATCCCCTACACATTGGAGGAGCAGCTGTGGAGGTGGTCTCCTGCTACAGGTACCTGGGGGTGCATATATCCAGTGACCTCACCTGGAAAGCCAACATTTCCTGCCTGGTCAAGAAGGCCCACCGGCGTCTCTACTTCTTCAGGAAGCTGCATAGATCTGGATTTGGGAGCTCTGTCCTGAGGAGCTTCTATCGCTGTGTGGTGGAGAACGTTCTCTGCACCTTCATCTCTGTGAGGCATGGCAGCTGCTGCTGAGAGGATGGCTCTGCAGAGGTTAAGGCTGCACAGAAGACTGTGGGGAGCAGCCTTCCCACCACCTCGGACCTTTACACATCACGATGCAGGGGGAGGGAGCTCCGCATCATGAAGGACTCCACTCATCCTGCACACAGTCTGTTCCAGCCCCTCCCCTCAAGCAGGCAGCTGAGGAGCATTCAGAGCAAGACCACAAGGCTCAGAAACAGTTTCTTCCCTGTAACTGTCAGACTGATGAACTCGAGCTGCACTTAATTCAGCTTCAGCTTACATTTTTTAACTTTATTTATACATTTATACTCTTTTGTATTTATTTATTTGTTAATTGTTAGGCTTCTTGATCTGGGGCCTGAGTCCGAATTTTGTACCATAAACATGAAAATGTGAGCTGGTCTGACAATAAAAAAAAATCCTTGAATCTTGGCAGAATGTGGTGCTACGTACTATTAAAATAAGTTTTTTTTTTTTTTTTTTTGGTTAAGACATATAGGTTTAGTTTTATAAAGTTTCAAGTGAATGAATAATCACAATCAAAGTCTAAATTTAAATAAATAAATATGTTATTTTATTGATCTTTGGTCAGTTTCAAGTCATTTGAAAGAAAGTTGTGTTTTTGTCCTTATTATGGAAGAGTACCAAGACATCTGTCTGAGCCGCAGCAGACAACAATGTTTTCCAAGCTTCAACTTTTGCACTCCTGTCCTTTCCGGGCAGCCATTTCCCTCACCACCACCCGCTGCCCCCTCACTGCTACACCCACCCTCTCACCCCCTCCCTGAAGCTTTGACCTCTGAACTTGAAGCTGGATCATTTCCATCAAACGCACAGTCTGCTTTGATCGAGTAGACCTCCCAGTCTGAGAGGTGAGCTTTGTTTTCTCACAGAAAGTTACAGTAAGAGGAGGTTGGACCTCAGCTGTTTTACTCAAAGTAAAGGCCAAGATGAAATGGAACATTTGACAGAATTGGACAGAATAGTTAACTAAAACCTTACAATGAATTTATTTTTATATAAAACACATTTCTTTCAGTTTCTCCAGTTTGTTCCAGGAGTGAGATCTGAGATGTTTAGCACTCACTGCTGATAGGTGGTGTGTGTGTGTGTGTGGGGGGGGGGGGGGGGGACGATAATGTCTTTGTCTGTGTTTGAGTAAGTAAAAAGATGTACTTCTATAACTCGTTAGCCTTTGGAGTCAGTTTAATTCAAAATGGCTGCTACAGCTACATGAACTAAAAAATATAAATAGATATATATCTCAGCCCATTTTACAGACAGTCACCTTCATTATAGAGTGGTAGTAGCTGAGACTAATCCCAAACACATGGTGTGCACAATTACACTGGGAAACAGCCCCACATCCATCCATCCACCCATCCATCCATTCATCCATGCATTCATCCATCCACCCATCCTCCCATCCATCCATCTATCCATCCATCCATCCATCCATCCATCCATCCACCCACCCATCCATTCATCCATGCATTCATCCATCCACCCATCCATCCATTCA